ATGGTCCAACTGTATTAATTTATAGAGGTTTAACTGTATATGTAAGAAATGCAAATCTTTGAAGATTCATCTTTTGTAACAGTTATTTTTCATTTGATTGCATGAAATGGTTTAAACAACAATGTCATTATACATAATGCATGAAAACAAATTCAGAGTGGATAGAATTTTACATCATCGCAAACCATTTACCAAAATTAATAACTTTTTTCCACTAAAATATTTTTTTGCACTACAACATAATTGACAAAACCACACACAAAACCACACACTAAAACATTTTTTTGCACTACAACATAATTGTGTTCATTCTTTTTCCATCTTTAAATGACTAGATATAACAGAAACCATGAACAAATCAGTGCCATCCACAAGAACCTCTGTTTTTTCTTCATCTCTTCTTCTTGTTTATTAATCCTACGAAGCAACCCAGGTATAATTTGTCGGGATCTTTCGCACATTGGAGGATCAGTCCAAACAAAATAGTTACAACCTCCAGGTTTCTGAATATTTTTTTTTTTCAAGAAAATAAAGATTAGTTTGCAGAATAAACGTGATTGATTAACAACCGCAGCAAATAAAATAAAAGATACAAGATAAAAATTTTACCCGGAACTTGTCGCAATTGGTGTATCTTCTTCCTAGATTCAGATCAGTCCATGAAGTTTTCATGACCGGTCTTCTCGAACAAAAGCACGTCGCGTCCATATGAAATTGAAACCAAATCAAAACGAAATTGGAAGAAGAAGCAACGGCAAATCAAGAAGAGGAATAATAGAGAATGGGCAGCAGAAAATTAGGGCTTCTAATGATTTATAAAGGAAAGAATATTGGGGATTCTAACGGTAATAAAGGGAAAGGTAGAACAGTGATAAAAGTGTACTGGAAAAGACGAATTAACCCTTGGGATCACACGTGCAAAGCACGTGTGTGAAATTCCCGCTATTTTTTTTCAAAAATAGACACTTAAGGGGGCGCCGTTAAACAACTACATAAGTTCAGGTAAAAAACGTGCAAATTGTGTAAGCTGGGGGGGCACCGTGCAAAACACCCCAAAGTCCAGGGGGTAAAATGCTTTTTACCCTAATTTTTATCATTATAAACTAGGGTAAATGGCACTTTGCCCCCCAAACTATGGTGTCTTTTGCAAGTTACCCCCTGGACAATTATTTTTTACAAAATTTTACCTGAACTCGTGATATGCTGGCACGGTGCCTTAAATTTGCCGGAATTGTTCAATTTTCACCGGAATCACTGTCACATGCATTGCACATGATATTTTTAAGGGTACAATTGTCACTTCATATCAACCTTGATCATAGCCCCTTTTCCCCTTGATTTTGGCAGCAATTTACCCCCATTTGTTTGCTCATTTTAAAAATATTTGCAGCAATCGTTTGAGCACTGAAGATAGAGGAGCCACATCAGTCTTCATGATTATCAAATAATCCAAACAATAAATAAATTATTATTTTTATTTTCTTGTTCATTCTTAAACTGCAATTTCATTTCTGGAACTCCAACTCTTTATTTATGAGTTCTAAAAAGAGAGATAAAAACTTGCAAAATATAGACGAAACCAAGCAAAAAAACTAATATAAGTTTAAATTGATGTTGTCAAGCATTTAGTTAATTAAACAGTGAATCACATGAATTCCGACGCTATTTTTCCACCGCGTCCAAATCTCATCGGTTCCTCCATCCATGCATATTTAGAGGTCCTCCAAAGAAAAGAGAAAAATACATTTGGAGAGAAAAAACAAAAAAGAACAAAGAACAAAGAAAAAAGAATAGAAACTCTACACATTCATTCGTCTCTCAATTGCTCAGTCATTTTGTTGTTTTTTTTTTTCTTTTCAGAGGGAAACATCTGCTGTCTCAATATACACACAAAAACATGCACATACATAAGTGAGATGATTAGGTCATGCATATCAAAGAAATAGAAAGATAATACACATATATCTGTAGCAATCGTTTAAGTGCAGAAGATAGAGGAGCTGCAGAAGCTGGGAGGGAATGATATAGAAGAGGGGAATGAAAAAACGAGGGAAAAAGTGAGCAAAAAATGGGGGTAAATCGTTGCCAAATTTGAGGGAAAAGGGGGTTAGGGTTAAGTTTGATTTGAATTGACAATTGTCCCCTTATAAATCTCATGTGCAGCGCATGATAGTGTGATTCCGGCAAAAACTGAAATTTTCCGGCAAATTTGTGGCACCTTGCCAACATTTTACGAGTTCAGGTAAAACTTTGTAAACTTTTTTAGTTCAGGGGGTAACGTGCAAAAGTCACTATAGTTCGGGGGACAAAGTGCCATTTACCCTCTAAACTATATATATTATTATATAAAATAAAATAAAATAAAATAAAAAAACTGGTTATTTAATTTTTTATGTATTTATTTTTTAGTATATCTATTCTGTGGATGGTGTGAATATTCAATATCTTATATTCACTTAGCTTCTTCACTTTCTCGCTCTATTCCTTCCATTGATGACGTCAGCAATGGCGACCTCAGCTTCCTCCATCTCAATTGTTTCGCTTCAAGCTCAAACAACTCTAGAATTGAACCGCCGGAGTTTTTCGTCGCCTTACTCAACCAAAACCAGAAAGCCCATCTACTACACTCGACCATCCGGCGGTTCAATTCTAATAGAGGCATCTTCTTCTTCTTCTTCTTCTTTATCTGCTTCTTCTTCATCTTCATCCGCTGTTGCCCTAGAAACTCAGCCAATGGTTCCACCGTACAACGTATTGATAACTGGTTCTACCAAAGGTCATTTTCTGCTCTTAAAATCAAACTTTGTTAAAATAATTATAATTGGGTGGGGGGGGGGCGTTGTTTGCACAATTTGAACTCTAGAGCTTTCACCATAATAAGAATTGGTAAAGTGCAATCAAAGTTGAAGATTTCACAGCACAATCAATAATTTCTATGATTTGTGCTTTGTGTGTGTGTGTGTGTGTGTCAATCATGAAAAATAAAATGCATTACAGTATTTATAAATTAGATGTGATCATCTCTCCCAGATGAGTTCTAAATATCTCGAGAATTGCTACGAGAAAGTTATTTACATGGAATAACAACTGTTGCACATCTTGTCGTTTATCAGGAATAGGATATGCGCTTGCGAAAGAATTTCTCGAAGCTGGAGATAATGTCGTCATATGCTCTAGATCAGGTACGTTGTTTAGCTTCGATTTAGTTTATCGTATTTCATAATCTGAGGGAAATACTGTTATAGTACTTCTGATGTTGGATGATGCAATGCGAACGATATTTTCTTGTTTAACCTTAAAAGCAGGCATTTCGAGAGTGTAATATTTCAAAAAAAAAAAACGTTCTCTGTTAGAATTAACTTTTTGTCGAAGAGGCGCAGCAGAGTAGGAAACTAAACTTCGTTTCACCGAATTAAGTGAATATAGTTACTTAATGAGGGGGTCCGTTTGAGGCAATTGCAGTAATAAGAAGTTCAGATCGGCTACAATAGACATAAATTAATAATAAAAATGCAACGTTTAAATATCTCACAACTTGCTTGTGACTTGTACAGAGGAAAGAGTGAAATCAGCTCTCGAAAGCTTACGGGTTGAATCGGGGAAGCAGCATGTGTGGGTACCTCCTTCGTAACTTCCGGTGCTTTTTCCTTTTTTGCCCCATTTATCTTACGGCGCTCGTCTTTGTCGCCGACAAAACATACATAAGCTCAAATAGACGTAACTAAGAAATGGTGAATCTTGATATATGCCATAGTTACGCTTATACAAGTAGTTCTTCTTTATGCAGGGTGCCACGTGTGATGTTCGGAAGGGAGACGATGTAAAGAACTTAGTTTCTTTTGCACAAGAACAGCTAAACTACATTGACATATGGGTGGGTACTCAATCTTCAAACACTTTCTTCTTAACTTATGTTATCGGATGCTTATATATTAGCTTACTCTTTTTATACGTTGATAATACAGTAGAACCTCGATAAATTAATAACCTCGCTTCAATAATAGTTTCTTCTGGCCCCGACTCGGTAAAAACCTTCTAAACTATTAGTTCGATAATTTAATATTTCGCTAAATTAATAGAAATTTGCTAGTCCCGACTGTATTAATTTATAGAGGTTTAACTGTAGTCCTATTTTTTAGCTGAATGGCATCGGAATACAACTTATTTGCTAAATGATATAGTCAGTGCTAATAGACCAATTTAACTAGTCGTTTCGTCTCTTGAATGTTTATATATTAAGAGGTATTGGTAGGTTTGTTTTTTCCTATTTATATTCTCTCTTACCCCACTTCAGAATGATGCAGATAAATAATGCAGGATCGAATGCATATAGTTTCAAACCATTGATGGAGGCATCCGATGAAGATTTAATGTGACTTCCTATTTTTAATTTATTATTATCACACACACACACATATATATATATATATATATATATATATATATATATATATATATATATATATATTATTGCTGTAAATATTGATTTATTGATAAATGGAATCCATTACGTACGCAGTGAAGTTGTCACGACAAATACACTTGGTTTGATGATTTGCTGCCGTGAGGTAGATTGCAATTTCCTCGTACCCCGAGTTTAATGATTATGCATAGATTTTCTTTTACCTAATGTTTTGATTATTCTAGGCAATAAATATGATGCAAACACAGCCCCGAGGTGGTCATGTTTTTAATATTGACGGAGCCGGTTCTGATGGAAGACCCACACCCAGGTTTCGTTAGCCGTGTTCTTTTAGAATATTCTCTTTTTCCATTTTCGACATACCGATGAATATATTATGCATAAGGGGTTTAATTATGCAATTCTCTTTATTTTCATTAAATACCAATGATATGTTCATTTTTTTCCCGATTATATATTTTCAATGTTCCTCAGATTTGCGGCTTATGGGGCAACTAAACGGAGCGTGGTGCATCTTACAAAATCACTGCAGGTATGTGCTGAGTTTTAGTAATTAAATTATTCATTAATATATCATTGTGTAAATAATTTGAAAGGTTGAAGTAAACAAACAATCTTTTATAGGAATACTTTTTTTCTAGATGGACACTTTTTTTTTCCCGAGCAATATCTTGATGCGTAATTTTTTTGAATGTCCGAAGAATGTACTCTGTGTAGCTTATTTACACCTCTTATACAGTTAAATTATTATCTGTAATGCCAGTATTCATGCATATGTGTTCCTTCCACTCTTTTTTGCATCGTTTAATTTTTCGTATGATTCGTGAAATGATGACATGAAGCAGTGCTTACTTCGGTATCTACTATTTGTTTTTTTTTTTTTATTGTTTGTTTTTAGTAGAATATGAGTAATGGAATGTTCATTGTTTCCTCTCTGCAGGCAGAATTGAAGATGCAAGATGTCAAAAATGTCGTAGTGCACAATCTGTCGGTACATATGCTTCATTTATTTTGCGTATTAATTGAAGATTCGATCGACTTGCCTTTATTAAATTCTTGTGCATTGCATGTCAATCTATAGATTTCAAATTTTGTGAACTTTTTCGGTCAAGCAACTTGGTGAAATAAGGACTTTGATTTTATTGTATTCTTATTACCTGCATGCAATTTGTAATAAATACAAAAACGAGACTCTCTATCAATTCTTGCCCTAAAACGAGTCTTGATAATCTGGCTGAATAGGGCAAAATTGTATTACTACTGATTTATTAAAATTATTTTCAATATGATGTGAAATTAATATTTACGTTATTACTATTATTTCTATAAATTATTGTTTACTTTCCCCCGTTTTGTGCAGCCAGGAATGGTTACGACAGATCTTCTCATGTCTGGTGCTAACACAAAGCAGGTACATTTGGTTTACGATCTTTCGAAATTTATAATATATTTTTTTCTGCTAAAATAGTAATATTAATTACGTACTTGTTCTTGTTCGTATTGCAGGCCAAGTTTTTCATTAATGTCTTGGCTGAACCAGCTGAAGTTGTGAGTTATTTTTCATCACGATTTATTTATTTATTTTTGGTTAACAAAATATTCGTAATTAGCTTCGTCTTGCGATGCTAAATACAGTTAAATCAGTTATTTGTTTATATTAAGAGTGTGGTTGAATTGGTTTAACAGGTGGCTGAATATCTTGTTCCGAACATTAGAAATATTCCCACAAATAGATCCGGAAGACCAACTTACATCCGTTTTCTCACCGGATTAAAAGCTTACTCCCAGATTTTCTCGGTTAATCAATTAATTAATACCTTTTAATATTTCACTATCGAATGACTCATTGCATTAATTCATTTCTGATTTTTTTTTTCTTTGGCTTTTTAAATTTTTTTTTTTCGCACAGAGACTCGCTTTTGGTGCTCGTAGAAATCGACATGTTCTTGAAGAGTAGTACTTAACTTGAGCCAGTTCCTGATTTGGTCGGTCCATTGCATAATATTTTCTTCGGTTTTTCTCCGTTTTATTTAGTTTTGTTTTTTCTCGATTTTACCTTACTATCCTAATTAAGTTGTATATTTTTTTTCAATTTTTCAGGTGACTGTTATGTGTACTTGATGAATGAAGTTCGATGAATGAATGATGTAATCGTCAAGAAAAACAAAAAAAAGGGGTAAAATTGCGGATTTTGTGTAAACTATTGGAGTAATTGATAATTTATAAAATATAACTTTGAATGACTATGTGGCCCTTATATTCTAATTATGTTGATACAACATACAGGTACTTTATTTCTTACTATATCAATTATTATTAAAATTTATATAATTATATAGATAAATAAATAATTTTCATAGACTCAAAGGTAAAAATAAATAAATATATTTAAAATAGTTATCATATATTCTGCATTTTAGGGGGGACAAAATAAATCAACATGAGTGGGACAAAAAAAAAAAAAACAAGTACTATATTTGTAAAAATAAATAAATTAGGTGTGCTATTTTGGAACCTTTTATTATTTTTTTGCACCATCATTTTTATTAACCGCCATATTAAATTAAATAATTTTATTTATGATCTTATATTTCGGTGGTGTTCGCAAAATCTTATTTAAAAGCATGAGTTAGTGATTCTGAGTTAAAGTCGGAAATTCTATTTTTTTCCAGAAATATTCTCTATATAGCACACACTATTTTTATGAAATCAGAACATAAATTTGAGCACCCAAGACAACATTGTGTATGTATAATGTATATATGTATACTCTATCATGTAATATTCTCACAAGTATTTTCTATGTACTCCAAAAATCAATAATGTACAATTACAGCCTATGTGCAAAAGAATGCTACCTAAGTACACTACTAATTTCTAATCTTTTGAACGTATTAAACGACCTGGAAAAATCGGAGAAATTGATGCTAAAAAAACATACATACAATATATATGTATAGTAGCTAACCACGAGTTGTTTGTGAGTCAAGAAATCGGGTTCATCTCTATTTGCACTTGTCGAGACACCCTCGAATCTTGGAATTTCTCTGCTTCTCTTGCAATTTGAATATCGTTCGGTTTGTAGTACTGAACGAAGATTTTTACTACGAAATGAGGAATTAATGCTCCTATAGTGATTCCAAGCAAGCACATCCAAAATAATTTCGTATCGGCTATGTGAAAGAACGCCCTGCAAAAAAATATTTCGATTAGAAATTAGCCTTCCATTTTTATTTTACACAAATTAAAAAAATATATATATAATAATAATAAAGGGAAAAAAATATTTAAATGGACGGCCCTTTTGGTAATGTCGAAAGATGAAAACCGATGGAGCTTAGTGGAAATTATTGTTTTTGTTATGCCGATAATTTGATTTAAATTTTGCTGCAATATAACACCTAAAACCCCTCGAGTTTGGAGAAATAACCAAAACCTCCCTCGAGGTTCGATTCTGGCAAAAAAAATGACATCTTTACCCTCACCTGAATATCTTCACCAAAGAATACCAATTGATAATTAAAAAAAGAAAACGCATTACCAAATTCCACCAAAATCCCCTCGAGTTTGGATAATTACCCAACACCCCTCTCGAGATTTCATTCCAGCCAAAAAAACCCAAACTTAAAACTACTAAAATGACATTTTTACCCTCACCGGAACATCTTCACCAAATAATCGATAACCAAAAAAAAAAAAAAAAAGAAATTTAAATTCTTACCAATAACCGGGAAGAAAGGGCAAAGCATCAATCACCATAACGCAAACGAAAGTCGCAATAATCGAACCCCAAATGGCTGCATGAGTAATCCAATACCACCTAAATAAATCCATCGCCAAATGCACATTGACCAAAACGACAACCGCAATAGTCCAAAGATCTCCTAAACTTGAACCGTCAACATTGCTTGCCCAATAAGCAACGAGCGGTACGAAAAAGACGGCTATACTTTGCCACAAAGTGTCGAATATCGTCACCCAAAATAATTTGCCGTTGTAGCTCTCGTTTCTTTGTCCAGCTCCGTAAAGCTGAGGGTGCTTTAGAAGAGTGGCTCTGCTTAGATCCTTGTCGAGAATTCCGACAACTATTGTGGGCAATGACGTGTATATTATCGAGTATAACATACTGCTCCAGTCGGTTATTGCGGTTGTTAATGTGAAACCCGTGAAGAGTACGTACCTAGAGAGAGAAAATATGTTTTTAATCGGGCAAAAAAATAAAAAATACAAGGCAAATATTCATTTTAATGTAGAGTTTATTGCATTCGGTACTCATGCGTTATATCGAATTGCTACCAAAAAAAAAAATTAAAAAAAAAATCATGTTATATTATTGAAAGAGAACCCCCCTTATAATGTTTTTTTTGCAACCTCCGAAATAGCGAGTTTTTAGGGGTAGTTTGGTAAGAAAATTGAACTATAGGGGTTTATTTTCCAAATAAAATAACATGGGGGTTTTTTAAAATTAGAAACAATATAGGGGTGCCGAATGCAATAACTCCTTTAAATGTTAAAAGATTTAGTATTTCAATCTCATGTAGAGTTTATTGCATTTAGTACTCGTGTGTTCTATCGGATTTTAATTTATTAGCAAAAGACTCTTTATGATGTATTTTTTTAACACACGACCCTCTAATTAGTGAGTTTTTAGGGAGTAGTTTGCTAAAAAAAATAATCTTAGGGGGTTTTGCAAATAAATAATATGGGGAGTTTTTTAGTACTATCCCAACAAGGGGTGCCGAAAT